CGCACACACAACACAGCACATGCACGCACACACACTTGCATACACTCACACACATGCACACGCACACAGATGCACTCATGCACACGCATGCACACACGTACACATGGACATGCACACTCACACGCATGCACACATATCCACACATAACACACACACTCGCACACATGGACACACACACACACAACACAGCACACACATGCACACACGCACATGCATGCACTCACACACATACACACATGAACATGCACACACAACATACACATACACACGCACACACACGTACACACGCACACAACACAGCACGCCAAAGAAAGAACCGGATGCTGCATCCTCCGGGTTCCTCGACACTTTGCACCGTTCTCTGCTGGGGCGTTGATCTCATCAGTGAGGGGGGCCAGCCTCCCACGGAACTCGGGGCTCCCGGGCGGGAACTCTGTCCGTCCCCTTCCGGCTGTGCCACAGAGGCTGGGAAGACAGGACGCAGGGGACGGCGGGGAGAGAGAGAGGAGGAGGAGGAAAGGAAGGTGGGAAGGGGGGAGGGTGGGCAGCTGCATTCCCTCTTGTGCTGCGTGTGGAGCAAACCACACACCTTCCGTCTGCCCCAAAGTCCAGGGCAGGAGGAGACTGGAGGGCGGGGAGAGAAGAAAGCCGGGAGGAAACCAGCCGGCAGGTCGAGGAGGCTGCCTTTCTCCCTCACTCGGAATCGGTGGGCGCCTCCTCCCGTGGGCTCGGGCCTTGCCCCTCATCAAGCCCCCTGGGTGCCACGGCGGGAGCAGGTGGGGGGGCGTCCACATGCCTTCTGTGGCCTGCACTACCCAGCCCACCCCCAGACACGGCACTCCGTGCACGCAGCGGGCTCCTGGGCCAGTTGTCTGTTGCCATTTCTGCGCCACAGGCCCTCCCAGCTGGATCCCTTCGATGAGGAAGACTCGAGACCTCTGTCTGAGGTCAGAACCTCACTCTGGCAGCCTCGATAGAACGTGCCGGACTAGCAGTGGCGGCTGCAGGCAGCGTTCCACTTACCCTTCTCCTTTCCCAAGACTGGATTTAAAAGACCGCAGTTTACACGGCTGGTCGACGACAGCCAACAAATGACACCATCCTCACTTCCCACTCCATCCTGGACGTGCTCAGCCACGTGCCCGGCCCCGTCTCTGAGCGCTGGCCACCATCCCCTGCCTCTGAGCACTGGCCGCCGTCCTGGCTTCCCTGCCTGAGTGGCCTTAGCAAAGGCAAACCTTTCCGACAGTCTCGGGGTCCGGTCACTGCTGCACATGGCTTCCGCCGACCGGGCGGGAGAAGCTGGCCCTGGCCTGACTTTCTCCAGCTGCTGCCTGGGGGGCACAGGTCCCTCAGCTCAGAAGTGCGGGGCAGTTAACCCTCTGCAGAACAGACGTTGACCAGTCGGAAATCGGGGATGTCAGGTGGACTCTTCCCTTCTCCCACCTGCCTGTCCCAAGGTGCAACCGATTGTGCAAATTGCACGTGACGGAGGGATCAGCGTGCTCGCGTTTGTGAGGCTGCGTCTGGCTCCGGGACAAATCCCCTCGTATTTCTCTTTCCTTGAATTTGCCTCGCTTTCCACTTCCCGTCATTCCTGCTCCCCGGGGATTTACAACCAAAGCAGGTATTAATACGTACGTTTCTGCCCCAGACTGACGCCAGCTGCCTTCCTTGAACCATAAAATGCTCCCCCTTCCAGAAGGTTCTCCCCCATTTCACAGAGGAGGAAACCGAAGCCAAGATTGAAGGAGTGGCGTGTCCGTGGCCACTCAGAGACCAGTGGGTGGCTCTTTGGAGATTTCTTGCAAGTTACAGTGACCCCTTCTTTCTAGTGTCTGTCCCCCCTCCACCCCCGATACCGTGGGCTGACGAGTTCATACTCTTTGATCTGCCCCAGGTGCTTGGCCGGCTCCACCTTAGGTGGGATTTGAAACGGAGGCTGCAAGACGCCAGGGATCATGAGCCGACTGTGAAAACTGCAGTGTTGGGAATTACGAGGAGGCTGCATTTGTGGGTCAGCCATGTGCTGGGAGAAGCAGAGAAGACCGTGTGCAGTGGGAGAGAAATGAAGCAAACACTCTGAGACCCTGAGAGGAGAGAGGGACAGGGAGTTCCTCTCCCTCCTGAGTTTTGGCTGCCTTTGGAGTCCATGAACACCCTAGAAGGTTTTGAATAAATTAGCAAACATTTGTTTGTGGTAGCTTGAGTTCATTGCTATGACTTACAACCAAGTCAACTTTGACTAAGACACTGGCATTACTTGCTCATTCATTCATTCATTCATACATCATTGTCAAACCAGTATTGACTGTCCACTCCATGCTAGTGTTAAGGATAAAGAGATGCATGAAATTCAGAAATAGCTGCTGAGTTATCTGCAACCTAGAGGGGAGGCAAACATGTATTTGAATCATAATGCACATGCGTGGCATGCTCGCCATGTGCCAAGAAACGTGCTGAACGCCTGTACACATTATGTCAGTTATTCCTTACAACGACGCTATGGGGTGGGTACTATTATTATCCCATTTCATCCCAAATGAAACTGAGTCTCAGGGAGGTAAAGTCACTCACCCCAGGCCCCCTGGGCAGCGTGCTGTGGAGCTGGAACTCAAACCCAGGCATTCTAACGCCAAAGCCCACGTTCTCAGCCTATACGTGGAATAACCGTCGTGAGATTAGAGAGTCCCGGAATGGAAAGAAAAAATGCAAAGCAGGAGACGTGAGTGCCCCGAGGGGTTAGGGGTGCAGAGAGGGAAATAATTCACAGGAGAGGAAAATGTATCCAGCTCTTGAAAAGAACATGACCCAAGTGTTGTTGGCCCAGAATGGGGAGGGTCTGCAAGTTCAAAGGCAGAAGGTGGCGCAGCACAGGCATTTCGAGGGTGCTGTGGTCAGCATGTGGTCCTGGTGGGAGAAGGGGAGGGCTCCGGTGGAAAAAGAAAACATGGGAGGTTTATCTACAGAGACCAGAGTCAGCGTTCCTTGTAGCTTGTGCTGCAGGTTGGTGCTCGTCATGTGGAAATGGGGAACCTGTGAAGAGTTTTAAGGGAAAGAGTGACACAGTCCCTGGATGGATGGGCAGGCTGGGAGGTCCCCAAGGAGCCCCAGGAAGAGGAAGAGGACCAGGACCAGCACCGCAGGGAGGTTGAGGAAGAATCAAGCTGGGGAGGTGTTTGAAAGGTGGACTTGAATGTTGTCCATTGGATATGAAGGTTGGCCAAAATCTATCGTACCTTAATTTGAGATGTTATCTCCCTCCCTGTCATGTCCATCCACCCCTTTCGTCTCCCTGGGCTGCTTTCTGTTGGACTCACTGCCACCGCGGTGGTGGGAAACCTACCTCCCAGTGGCAAAGAGGCTGGAAGGGAAATGCTAAAGACTAAAAAACATCGCCAACACCAAAACGTAAAGATGATGCCTTCTCTCCTGGAGCCGGTGGGTGGGTGGAAGTGTCTGCCCACTCTTCCTGAAGCCCTGCAATTAATTATTTTATTGTCCACAAAACTAAAGAAGTCTTATATTTCTTGAGCTGCAAGAAGCCATCTTGTTGATCTCTCTCAGTTTAAGAACAGAAAGTCTAGAGAGAAGAACTGAGCCTTTTATCTCCCTGAATCTGGGGCCTTTCACTCCCTGGGCCTTTCCGGGTCCTTGACCTGAGCCATGTAGACCAAGAATGTGTGTTAAGGCTTGACCACCAATGGGGCCCAGTCAAGTACTGTTTGACCGGCACAATGTTTTAGGTTTTCTCATTTGAATGTTTCAAGATGAATTTATTCGCTGCTCAGTGTGAAAAGGCTTTGCCATTCCCTGAAGTCTTACCTGGCCCTATTCGCACAGTCATTTACCTGGACCATGCAGGGATATAGGTTTGTGCATAAAAGTACAACACGTGAAATATAAGTCATGATGCTGCGATTTTGTCCTTCCTGCCACTTCTCAGCTACTTACCTGTGCAGAGTGGATGGGAGGCCCAAATAAGCCAGTGGATGTAGAAACCCTTTTGCAAACTTTAAAGTGTGGTGCACACATGTGGGTCATTGTGAGTTATGCAACTGACAACAACTTTGGTGCAGACACAATGCCATTCACTCCATCCCCCCTTTTTTGAGTCACACTGACATTGGATTTCCAGCGACACTTCCCCTTTCTGGCACCTTCGCTCAAAGGATTGAAGGACTGCACTATGCAAAAAAAAAAAAAAAAAGAATCTATAGACTTCTGCATACGAAGTTCCTCAGACCCCACCCAAAGGGGACTTGTATATACATTTACTAGCACTAGTGACCCAGAGCAAGTTTCTAGGACTATATTGCATATATACATATATATTTTTTTCTGGCTATGACCTTAATCTTGTTTCTCCTCTACTTCCCCAACTACTTCTAGTATACATAAACCTGACATCTTGTGGATCTTTATAAAGTGCTTTAAATTCTTTGTGGAACAAAACAGAATATAATCAACGAACACTTATTAGGTTGACTCCCATGAAAGTATTATTTCTATAGGTCAAAATGGTTTCCAAAGATCATTAATTTCACCTGTTTATAATTCTTGTGTAAATACACTTTAATGCTGTGATTGCTATGTTATCCAAGCTCCTGAGAGTGCCCCAGTCCCTGGTGGAAGGATTATGGGACAGAGGCAAGAGACCTGGGTTCCCATCCCAGCGCTGCCTCGAGGTACCTGAGCAGTTTGGGCAAGCATCATTTTGCCAAGTGAGCAGAATGACCTCAGTCCTGCCTACCTTACAGAATAGTTGTAGGGAATAAGTGATAGGCGTTGTGTGAGCATTCTCCTTAAAGTCCTGGGAAACACCCAACGGATCATCGGGCTGAGCAGAGCTCACCCAGAATTCCTACCTTCGAGACACCCTCTGTGCCCAGCCCCCTTAGTGGTGCCTGGTGCTCCTTATCAACCCTCCTCTTCCTCCCACTACCTCTCCCTCCTCTCTAGCCCCCACTCCCGACTCAGCCACAGTTCTGTTTGCTGTGTCTTTCCACACACTCAATCTCCTGGACCACCTCCTCCTACACTTGTGCAAGGAAAACTTTATTGTCCTGATTTTGTAGATACCTAAAATCTGAAGTTCAGGTGCGTTTGGTTATTTCGTCCCAGGCACACGTTTGTAAGAGGCACAGATTTGATGCAAACTCTATTCATCATACTCCAAGTTCAGAGCCATTTCACAGAGGGAATTCGGCCCCGGCACATCTTCCCCTGACCAGGAGCTGGCCTGGAGGGTAAGGACATGGCTGGTCATGCACATGAGGGTGAGTGACTCTCTTGCTTCGGTTTTCTCACCTGTGAAATGGGACAGTAGCGGTCCACGAGTGGGCGGCGTAGGGAACAACAGAACTAGCTCATGCAGACCGCTCAGCACGGGGACTTGGCACACATGCTGAGCACTAAATAAATGCTAGGGTTTTGAAGAAGTTTGGCTACACCCTCCAGACCCAGGGGGGGCATGCCTCCGTTCAGCTTCAGTGTCTGCAGGGGCTGGGGGTACCTTTACACTCCGCCTCTTCCTCCTGCAGTCACAGGAAGCAGTAAAAACCGGATCAGACACTGAACTCCACGTTTGCTTTTGCAATTCGAGAGAGCCTGTCTCGCGCAGTGAAAGCTGCCTTGTGCAGCCGCTGCCAAGACAGAACGAGGATGGCCTGGGCCAGGGAGCCAGCCTGCTCCAGGGTCGCCAGACGCCTGGTGGGGGAGGGGAGGGGAGCCTCGGTGCGCTGCCCGCGGTGCTGAACTTGGGCATTTTGACCTCGCTGGGTGGGGGCTGTCCGCGGTGCTGAACTCAGGCATTTGGTCTCACTGGGGGGGCGCTGTCCATGGTGCTGAACTGGGGCTCCAGCGGCTGCTCGGCGCTGTCCGCGGTGCTGAATCCGGTGCTGAACCGGGGCTCCAGCCACGCCCGGGCAGCGTGTCGCGTCCATTGTCACCAGAGTCCGTGGGCATCTTCCAGAAGGCCGAGTATTGGGGTCAGGTGAGACCAGGGCGGTAAGTGTTTCCTTCTCCCACCATTTCTCCAAAATGCTTAGATGCATACTCTAACAATTTCGGGCACATTTTCAGGAAAATAAACTCTCACCACCCCTTCATCACAGGTTTCTGCAAAAATTTGAGATTCTGCTCCCACCTTCAGTTCCTGCAAAAATCCAGACACCTATCACCCAGCCCGGCTCCGCAACCGTTTCCTACAAAAGTCCAGGCCCCTACGCATCTCATCCCCACGCGACAATGCAAAAATAAAAAAAGCTAAATCCGTTTTCCATTCCTGTCTCCTCCAGTTTCCTGTGATAAAAGCAGGCTCAGATGCTCCTGCCCGCTCTCCCACTCCTGCCTGTGGCTAGACAGCATGCACTTACCTCTTGGGAGCTGGAGGCCCCCCAGGTGACCAACAGAGAACCCCAGGGGTGCACTTACCTGGTGGGGAGGTTCACCGAGAGAGGCCATCTGGGTCCAGGCCAGGGCTAGGGTCATCATTCCCAAAGCAAAGTGAGGGGTGCCTGTACCCCCGCCTGCGGCTGCGAGTCGACTAGCAGAGGGCACTGCCAGGCTGCACCGGTGCCCGCTGAGAGCTGGGGCTACTCTGGGCCTTGGGGGTCCCGTTGAGTCACTTGCCCAGAACTTCTTCAAGGTTCGTAAATAAAACCTCTATGTCAGTTCCTTGGAGTCGCTCCCTGCTCCTCCAAGTTGCAGTGGGAACAGGGGAGTCCTTTGTTTCTTTGCTTTATTTTTGTAAGAGAAAGAAAGAAGCATGAAAGAACGCCCGCTGGTTTGCAGGTCTCCTGCACAGCCCCAGCCTCTAGCGCTGTGGGTCCTGGCTGGCTCTCTGGGCTGGCAATTCGCTGCTGCTCTGTGCCGACTGGAGACTGTGTGTGGGTGTGCGCGGGGGGAAGGAGCGGGGAGGCACCTCAGGGGCGGGAAGTGCTACCTGCAGCCGCCCCTGCCCCTCGCCCCCAGCTTGTGGGTCTGGAATGTCGCCACAACTTGGAAGGAGCCTCCTAGAGCCCCCCTAGGGTGGGCGCGGTGCCGCGTGGGGTCCAGAGCAGCCAGCGGATGCTCCCAAAGTCTGACACTGCCAGTCTCAGACAGTGGCGGGATTCGAACTCGTGTCTTCTCTGTTCTTTCTGCGGCGCTGCCTTCCTCAGGTTTCCTGCATGTACACCTTGGGATCTCGGGGTGTCTGCCTGCAACGTAAGGAGAGGGAGGGAAGAGGGTGTGGACGTGCTCCCAGACTTGGGGGCCATCTGACTATCAGAGCTGGTCCTCAGGGACCCCGTTGGATTTCATCACCTCCCACCTATTCCCGGCACTTCCCGTAGAGTTATTCGCCAGCAATTTTTGTTTCCTTTTTACAAAGGAGTTCATGGGTGTCATATAGGATTGAAAGCACCTGGCATTATATTTAGAAAGTGAGCGCCCCCTTCTTCCCTGCTGCAGTGCCCTTTGCACCCTAGTCGGGTTCCCAGAGGTAACCTGCATTTTTTAGCTAGATCCCTGTGTGTGTACACAGGGCTTCTGTTTGTCCTATAAAAAATCTGCCTACTTCTTCTTGAGTCAATTTTAGTCATTTATATTTTCATAGAAAATTGTCCATAGAAAAATGTCCATTGTATATTTTCAAATTTTCTGGCACAAGGTTACAAATATTACATATATATATATATATGTATATATATATATATATCTGCCTTATGGTTCTTTTTCATCTTCCTCTGATACTGTTCCCTATCTCCTTTTCATTCCTGTTATAGTTTATATGCATTTTCCACCACCCCACCCCCAATTTTTAAAATCAAACTCGCTGGAGGATGATCAACTTTCTTGCTCTTTTAAAAGCAAAAATGTCATTCTGTAATTTGCCTTGATCATTTAGTGCAGGGGGTCCTCAAACTTTTTAAACAGGGGACCAGTTCACTGTCCCTCAGACCATTGGAGAGCCGGAATATAGTTTAAAAAAAAACTATGAACAAATTCCTATGCACAGTGCACATATCTTATTTTGAAGTAAAAAAACAAACAGGCAAAAACACCTGCATGCGGCCAGCGGGCCGTAGTTTGAGTACGCCCGATTTAGTGTTTCCATAATATCACTTATGGAAATGTCTCCATGCAGTAGCTCATTATTTGTAATAACTGCAACTGTCTGTGAGGTTTTTCCATTAAAAGTTTCAAGGTGTATGTGTTCAAATCTGCAACTCTTATCTTTGAGGGCTTCTAGATTTCCCACCTTCCTTAGGGAGGTTTCCTACCCCAGAGTAGCTCCCTAAATGTCCTGGTAGTTTACAGCTGTGCTGTTGTTTATATCATGAATTCATCTGGAAAGCACATCAGTGAGTAGGGTAAGATAAGGCTCTGACAACAGTGAGAGGCCAACTTCCCTAATACCAATTCTGAGAAGCCCTTTCTTCTCTTACTGATTTGAAACGCCACCTTGAACGAGAATACTTTATATATCCCAAACAAGCCCCATATTTACTTAATGTATGTTCTTTTATACAAATGCACTGTTGGACTGGTATCATTTATTTATGTGAAGGTGGAATTTATTCCATCTATAATAATAAATTGTGTTTTTTCCTTTTTACGAGATAGTGGGGTTCTTATTCAGCTTTGGTATGAGGTGTTAACCTTCTAGAATGATTTTGGAAGCATTCTGGTTTTTCCTACACTGCAGAATATTTAAATTATCAAATAACTGCCTGTTCATTGAGGGTTAATAGAACACACCCATAAAACCATCTGGGCTGGATGGCTATTAGAAGGATAGAGCTTTGACTGTCTTTCCAAATTCTTTGATGATTATTGGAGGATTCATTTTCTGACTCTTAGAGTCAATTTTCAGTAATTTACATTTGCCCAGATAATATTTCATTTTATTTACATCTTCAAATGTATGGGCATAAAGTTACAAATTATGCCCCTTATAACTTTTTCATTGCCTTTAAGTCTGTTCTTATTTCCCCTTTTCATTCCTGACATTATTGTGCCCATTATTTTTGGTGTTTATGTCTAATGTTGTTTTGCTGTGGTTGAATTATATGATTTATATCATTTCCATGTTGTGGCCTATTTTACAGCCAATTAAAAAATACTCAATGAGCATTTTCCCTCATACTCAACGAAGGAAAAAAGAAATGTGCATTTCGTGTTTCTGGATACACACAATACAAGTATCCCTGCGAAGTTAACTGCACATTGCACCCTGTATATCCGTACTTTGTTCAGGAAGGCAGAACACCGTGCTGCTTAAAAGCACAGACTCTGGAATCAGACCACCTGTGTTTACATCCCAACTCAACCAACTTACCAGCTATGAAATCTCTGGCGAGACACTAAACTTCTCTGTGCCTCAGTTTCCCCCTCCATAAAATTAGATTAACAATAGCATCTACTTGGTAGAGCTGGGATGGAAGGCCGCTGAGTCGATACTTATGGAATGCTTAGTGCAGTGTCTGGTAGTAGGGAATGAACATGATATATGTGTTAGTTGTATTTGTCTGCCTGATCTCTTAGCATTCAAATTAAACTGTTACAGTCTCCCAGGATGCTTGAATTCACTTTGTCAGCAAAAATTTACTGGGTCTGGGCTACGTGACCCGATCTGCCTTCTTCGGGCCATGACATCTTACCTCTTAAGTGTAGACAGCCAACAAGGCAATAATCCAGCTCCGATCTGTTGCACTTGCTGATTCTCGATGTAGATTCTTTCATCCCGGTTCATTTCAGCCTCCTGAGGAACCTCCCCGAGTGTGGAGCTGAGAGGAGTTGCAAACTGTACATGGTGTCCCGACCACATCGGTATGATAGGCCTAAAAGACTTGAGAGCCTATACAATAGTAAAATGCATGAAATAATTAGGAAAGGGTGAGCTTTGAGTATTTATCACCTTGTTTTTAATACAATTTATTTAACTTTGAGTTCACATAACAATTTTATGATTTTTAAAAAACTCCTTTTGTACGGATGGGGTCTCACTGTGTTGCCCAGGCAGGTCCTGAACTTCTGGCCTCAAGCGATCCTCCCCTTGCAGCCGCCCAGAGTTCTGGGGTTACAGGCATGAGCCGCCACACCCAGCCAGTAATTTTATTTTTTTTTCTCCATTTGCCATTTTTAATAGTAATCATGTAAACCAGCAAATTCAGAAAAGATCCAGTAGGTAAAGAATGCACACTAGGTTACTGAGGACATGGCTTTGGATGAAAGTGTTATTACTCTTGTAAACAAAATTGTCCATTCTTATTAATGTTAGTACTATTTACCATTCTGTTACTTTTTTTTTGTTTCGGCATATTATGGGGGTACAGATTTTAAGGTTTCAATAAATGCCCTTTCCCCCCTCCCCCCACAAGTCTGAGTCTCCAGCATGACCATCCCCCAGATGATGCACATCTCACTCATTATGTATGTATATACCCGCCCCCCTCCCCCCTCCCCCCTGCCCTATACCCTATTACTGTAGTACCTGTGTGACCACTTAGGTGCTGCTCAGTTAATACCAGTTTGCTGGTGAGTATATGTGGTGCTTGTTTCTCCATTCTTGGGATACTTCACTTAGTAGTATGTGTTCCAGCTCTAACCAGGAAAATATAAGATGTGCTATATCGCCGTTGTTTCTTAGAGCTGAATAGCACTCCATGGTATACATATAACACATTTTATTAATCCATTCTTGGATTGATGGGCACTTGGGCTGTTTCCACAGCCTTGCAATTATGAACTGTGCTGCTATAAACATTCGAGTGCAGGTGTCTTTTTTGTAGAGTGTCACTGGATCATTTGGGTAGATGCCCAGCAATGGGATTGCTGGATCAAATGGTAGATCCACTTGTATCGCTTTAAGGTATCTCCATGTTGCTTTCCACAGAGGTTGAACTAGTTTGCAGTCCAGTAATTTTAAATTGTGGCCGTGTTTGACAACAGGCTGGCAAAGCACCAGCGATCTTAACAGTCAGTTCTCGCAAGCTGTTACAAGCCGGCTCCAACTCACTGCTCAGAATCCCCCGAGTTGTAGAAAGGCTGAGCTCGGAGCGCCCTGAGCAGAGGCCGGGGCCAAGTCATATTTCTTATTTTTATTTTTATTTTTTTGAGACAGAGTCTCACTCTGTTGCCTGAGCTAGAGTGCCGTGGCATCAGCCTCACTCACAGAAACCTCAGACTCCTGGGCTCAAGCGATCCTCCTGCCTCAGCCTCCCGAGTAGCTGGGACTACAGGCATGCGCCACCATGCCCGGCTGACTTTTTCTATATATTTTTAGTTGTCCAATTA